ATTGTCAAATTTCTTTTCCATTCTTTTTAGCCATCCTATGATCATTACTCTGAATTCTTGCTCTGGTAGGCTGTATGCCTCCAACTTGTTTACTTCCTTTTCTGGTGATGCCTGCTTTTCCTTCATGTGCGGGCCATTTCTCTGTCTCCCCATGGTCTCTCTTTTCAGGATGTCTGGTTATGTGGTGTTCCTTCTCCTCCATTGATTTAAAGGTAGAAAATACAACACTACCAGGTACAAAACAAGAGGCACTTAACAGGAATGTATTTACAATATTAATAACCTCTAATAAAGGTGAGCACTAGAGAAAGGCAAATTAGGGGATAGGAGAGAAGGACAAAAGGTAAAGATAAAATAAAGAAAAAATTAAAAAAATAAATAAATAAGTGAATTTTAAAAAAGAGGGATAAAGAAATAGAAAAAGAAGAAAAAAAATAATGATAAAATGAAGTTAGAAAACAGGGAAAAAAGAAAAAAGAGAGAAAGAGAGAGAGAGAGAGAAGAAGAAGAAGAAGAAGAAGAAGAAAAAGAAGAAGTCTAAAAGAGAAATGGGAAACAAACTATTTATATATATATATATATATATATATATATATATATATATATATATATGAAAATTCCCATAGAACCTCCACTAAACCCAGCCAATGCCAGTAACAATACTTGAAGATTAATACAAACTGCAATATCCACTATTATTAAGTAAGGCTATGATATACAGAAGTAAAAAAAAAAAAAAACACACAAATAAATACAGAGGATTTAAAAAAAATACAAAGCAACAATAACAACACAGGAATAAGCATAACCATTTCACTAAAAAGCATAAAAATTCACAATAATCAACATTCACATAAACAATGAGAAAAAGATAGAAAGGAGAACAGTTTTTTTGTTTAGTTTTATTTTTTCACTAGTTAATATAGTGCAGAGAGTGGTATTTATACACTTGGATCAGGGGTTGGAACTTAGGTCTATAAGTATAGTGAGAGCTTTAGCAGTGGGTATACAGAAAGAATAGAGGAAAAACTAAAGCCAGAAAGGGATAGGATAAACAGGAGACTAAAAGGGTTGAGTTGAGATAGGGTTGAATAATGCTATAGTAGAGATTAAAATAGAATGAAGATTGTTCCCAATGTAAAAAAAAAGGAAACAAAAATTGCAAAATAGCAGTAGTAATAGTGATGATAAAGATTTAAAAAATGTAATAATTGAAAAGTTAAAATCAAGTAAGGGTAAAAGAAAAAAATTCATTTCTTAAGTAAAAGATGTAAAAAATGACAATTAAATAAAAGATGTAAAAAATGTAAATAAAATAAAGAATAGTAAAATTAGCATAAAAATGTCCAGTAGTGGTCATTCACTTCCTCTGTTATTGTATTTGGCACGCCTGATTCTCCGACCAGTCTTGCACTTCCCAGCATTCCACTGCACCTCAGTTTTGTAAGGTAGTCCTTAATTTTAAGTAGGCTATATCTTAGTTATTTGTGTCCATTTATTTTTGATTAATTAAAAGTAAAAAGTAAAAAAAAAACAAAACAGCAGTTTGTAGTTCAGCCCCTAGGTTGCAGTGTTTCCTGTTTGACCTCCCAGTCTTTTTGGTTGCTCTGGCCTTTGTTCTCTATGGCTCTAGCTGGAAGAGTGCCAACTGGCTCCCAGACTATCTCTTCTGCCTCCGATCCCTTATTTCCAAGAAGGCGATATCCCCCTGCAATTTCCCCGGATATGCCCAACTGGGCAGCCCTTCCCTAGTATTCAGGAGCAAGGGGGTGAAGGGGATCAGGCACCGAGGTGTCCAGATGTTCCGCCCTTGTCGGGACAACCGCAATTCTTAACAATCTGTCCCGTGTCCCCTGGCATTTTAAAAAAGTTTATCTTCTGGGGAAGATTATGCCAAACCCCGTACTGGGTGTTGCCGGGCAGGATTCTGACTGCAGCCTTCTTTGGGCTCAGCTAGGCGCAGGCTTCAGCGCGGTGCTCCGGGGCTACAGTGGAGGCGGGGCCTCACAGGAGCTCCTGGGCTACCTTCACTACCTGCGCAGGACATGAGTCAAAGAGGACAGAGGAGCTGGGGTCTCGGAACCCTCAAGTTTTCCCAGCAAATTCTGACCTTTCTGTGGGTGATTGAAGGACTCCCTTGAATCCACGTATTTGCGCCGATTGGAGCGTCACAGCTGCTCAATGGGCTCCTCCACTGTGGGTTTTCCAGGCCTCAGAGAAGCTACTCCTTTCCTGATAAGATGGCGCAGCCTTCCCTCCGAGACCCCAGCTCCATGAGAAGTCGCAGCTGCCACAGTGCTGGCCGCTTGGTCAGGAAATCCTGTCCAGCGGACCCTTCCTTACCTTTCTTGAGAGTTCAGCTGCCCCTTACTGCCAATCCACATTCCCTGAGCGACTCAGATGCTTCTTTTTTCTGTTCTGGGACCAGGGTCAGAACAAGTCTGTCTATTCGGTCCCCATCTTCAAACTCCGCCCTTTTTTTTTTTTTTTTTTTTTTGCTATACCATGAAATGCTACAGCCTTGTCCAGCCTCAGGAGTATTCAGGATCTCATTCAGTGTGGGAGCTGAGAATTATAACAGCAAAACACTGATGAAAGTAACAGTAAGGTTGTGTTTTTCTCACAAAATAACCAATCCATGGGTAGGTGGATCCAATGTTGAATTCAGCTGCTCAGTGATAGCAGGGTAAGCTGCCAGCAACAAAGTGGCTGCAGCAACAGCTCCCAGGATCCAAGGGAGAAAAAAAGTTCTGTCTTCGCTGTTGTGCTTTTTATCAGGGAGGAAAATAGTGTCTCTGAAATCAATTATGAGACCCTTGCGTGAACCCTTGGCCAGAACAGGCCAAATTGCAAGGGACATGGGTTCCTTTAGTAGGAAAGTGGTCCTGAAGCAGGTACCCCAGCCCAGGAGGAGGAGGAGGATTAACAGGACAAGGAGGAAGAGGAGGGGCAGGAAGAGGAGAGGGACAGGGCAGTTGGGAAGTTTCTGATAGTGAGCTTCCTGTTTCTGCTGTGAACACTAATGGCCCCATACATTTCTTCTTTGTGGACATGTGGAGGAAAGGTGTCCCGAGATTCAGGGATGACTGTTTTCAAATCTGTTTCCTTGTATCTTGAAGTACTCTATCTAATGGGGCCCATATTATACATATGTAACTTAAAAAAGAAAAAGAAAATCTACGTCTTTATTGAAGTGAGAGGAAGGAAGGGAAACAGAAGGGAGAGAAAGGAGGGTGGGGGGAGAGAGTAACACCAATGATGAGAGAGCCTCATTGATCACATAGCCCCTAGACAGCAACCCAGGTATGTGCCCTGACTGGGAATGAAACTGGGACTTCCTGGTTCAGGGTTTGACACTCAAGCATTGAGCCACGGCAGCATGGCCACCCGTATAACTTTCTAAGTTTAAACTTTCCTTAATTCAAATTAAGTAAAGGTTAAAATTCACTTAGACATTTAGGTTTCTCTTGAGCAGTGTTAGCTTTGTGTATAGACCAGCCGGTTACCGTGGAAAGCAAGTATGAACTGAAAGAAAGGAAATGTGTCTATCGTCACAGCAAGAGTGTTCATGTGAGAACAATGAGCTTTGGATGACTGGGCCACGGAACTGCGTGGATCCCTCTTGCACAGCATGCCTCCTTTGGAAATACTCACCTACTACTCCTTTTTCCTTTTCTGCTTAGAAGTTTTTGACATAATGGTTTTAATTTTAATTATAGATAGTTCCAGTGGTGACAGTGAAGCGTGGCCCTTCTGGTAGAACCAGGGCTGTGTACCCTGTTTCCATAACATCCTGAGCTGGTGGAACCATTGCCTCTTGCTAGGAGGAGTTTGACTGGTGAGTAAAATTCGGGGCTCATTGGGAAAGGAAAATGTTTAACGAAGTGTTGAGTGGAGAGAGTTGTTTTGAATTATTCCTGTTGCAACCAAAGCAATGCTCTTTCCATCCCCAGTGGTTTTCAATATTGTTAACAGTTATCCTAGTGGTTGTTGCTTCTCAAATGGCAACTCAAGCTACACACTGAGTGAAGTGGAATGCAGCCCAGTTAGTAATTTTTGCTCTTAATGAGAGCATTTGAAGATATAAATTGGCACATGGGAAAGTTTGGAAAGATATTATTGAGTCTGGCCAGTGTTGCACAGTGGTTGAGGATCCCCCTGTGAGCCAGGCAGGCGTTCACAGTTAGTTTGATTCCAGGTCAGGGCACATGCCCGGGTTGCAGACTGGATCACCATTGGGTGTCGTGAAGGAAGGAGTTGAGGAATGATTCTCTCTCAGCATTTTTGTTTCTCTCTCCTTTACTCTCCCTAAAATCAATCTATGTATAGTTTTAAAATATCTATTTAGCCTAGCCCTGGCTGATGGAGTTCATTTGGGTGGGCATCTCCCCTTGCACTGAAAGATTTCCGGATCAGTTCCCAGAAGCCGGGCACTTGGCGGGGTTTTGCGGTCAGTTCCTTTCAGGGGTGGGCAGGAGGCAGCCAACCCACCTTTCATCAATGTTTCTCTGCCTCTCCTTTCCTCTCTCTACTCTATATTTATATATTGGATATATGATCCTAGTGTAAAACCAGAAACTATATACATAAGAAAAGGAGAAGATACTGTCACTTCTAGTAGTTTCAATTCCTCCAGTTCACTAGTGTTCACATTTTGATGCATACATTTCCAGATTTCATTTCTCCATTTCATCAGTTTATACTTACCAGAGAAAAATTAAGTGTTTCAAACATTATTTTAAAACAAAACTGTAATATGCAGGGAGCATCCTTCCATTTCTACATATATGTGTACATATGTGTGTGTGTATGTATATATTATGTATATGTACATGAATATATCAGGTCAGCACATGTTTTCAATCCACAACTTTATTTCTATTTATTCAAAAAAGTACTTAATATAATGGATTAAAGTCTACATAAATAGCTAGGTACTATTGGACATTATCATTATTTACTATTATAAATATACATTTGGGGTTTATTCCTCTTAGTTATTAAAGATAATCGCCTAGAACTGTCATGACAGCAGCAGAAAAGGCTTCCAGCACCGTCAGCATCTGTCTCCTTAATGGCCTCATGTACTGCCTCAGGCCAGGCCACGCCATGGTAGTGCGAATGGCTGGACCAGACTCTGGTCCCTGAGCAGGCCCTTCCTCTGGCTCTGGAGAGCTCTGGAGCTCTGGGTTTGGTCCTGGAGCAAGAGAGATAGGGAGAGAGAGATAGGGAGAGATAGGGAGAGAGAGAGAGACAGAGATATTTTCTCACACACCTGGCTTTCCCATGACTTTCCACTGACAGGAAAGATGCCAGCGCCTTTAAGGGAACTCCAGCCCATGAGCTTGCCCTCCCCAGGTTATGTGTCCAGGTTATCAGTCTCCCTCACCTTGGTGAGTTGCCTCGGTGGGCTCAAGATGCTCCAGCTCTAGATTTTGGGTTTGGCCCAACAGGTGTGATGCAGGGGACTTGATGGGCACCAAGGCCTGCTCTACCTCCAACAAGGCAAACGGAAGGTGCTGCCCAAAACCCTGGATCTGGTCCAGCCAGGTCCCAACCATCGAAGCAATGACCCTGGGGAGAGGCAGGTGGGCAATCAAGTCAGAGTTATGGTCTTTCCTTCTACTCTATCCTCCCATGGCACTCTTGTTTGGGACTGAGCCTCTGTGCAGTCCCCCTCATTTCCAGGGCACAGCCCCATGCCAAACCCAGCCCCTATGTGGCTGTTCTGTTTGTAGCAGGTGTGGGATCCAGCAGGCTTAACGTGGAGTCTGTGTGAGACTCTTCTTCCCACTGGCAGCTCTCCTGAGTGTCCTGTACACTGCCCACCCCAGCCCTCCATGCCCATGGGCATCTGGGCTGAGGACTGAGACAGACTCCTGAGCTGCCTGCTCACCACCATCCTGTTCTGAGCCGTCCACGGTGGTCAGTGGAGGTGGATGGAGAGAGGGGCAGGCAGAGGATGATGGGTCTTGGGGGGAAGGAGACTCTGAGGCACAATTCAGCCCAGTGTCCTCACTGGGTCTACAAGACCAGGGACCCCATCCTCTGTCCTCTTTGACTCATGTCCTTCTGGAATAGAAGCCAGCAGAGTTCAGGCCTTTCATGGGAATCAGAAGGTGTATAATATCAGGGTTCTGCTAGGCAATTCCCCCAACTCAGTCCCCACTCTGCTGACACAGGGGGCCTCCTTCTGGAGGCAGAGATCACTCACTTTATGACTTGGTCCTGCCATGTGTCACCCTGGTCCTTATGAGGAGGTGTGCCTGCAGATGTCGAAAGCACCTTGAGGGCATCAGCTCTGATGGATGGTGGACAGGACCTGTGAATGATGGACAGCGTGACTGCGGGACCCACTGCCTAGAACTGAGGCCCAGGCGTTGTGTCTGCTTCATTCCTTGAGTAGGCCTTAGCATCTCCAAACCTGCTTGCCTACAGTAGGAGCTTCATACACATTGTTGAGTAAATAAACTCCAACCAGCACCATCCCATCCATCTGAGTGGGCTTGGGGCCCCTGCTACCCGCCCGAGATCCCCCATGTGGCTACACCAAGGCTGAGGACCAGCTAGATGAAATCTCCAATTGCCTGACAGGCTGCTTTCCGTGTGTTTTTCCAAACTGTGATGCCACAGGCTGCCGCTGGGTGAGTCAGAGTTCTTTCCAAGGGACAGAGTGAAATCATTGCCACAAACCACAGGCACACATCCAGCAACCCTGTCTGAAGAGCCAGGGAGCAGGTAGGACCTGCCATGGCTTTTCTCCACAGCAGCGCTTTGAGGCTTATCCCTCACCACCCCACCTTTCAGAGGAGCATAGTTAGACTCAGAAAGATGTGGTGACATTTTCAAGACACACAGGTTTCAGTGGGCAGAGTCACGAGTGTGAGCTCACCTAGCTAACAGTTCCTCCAGGAACTGTTGGGCTCTGCAGAAGGCCAGGGTGGAGACCTGGGGGACGTTTCCCCCCAGGAGAGCTGGTACCATGGATGTGGCCACTTGCTCTAAGGTGCCTTCACGGAGGTCCTGCATCCTGCAGGACTCAGATAGGTTACCAGTTACCTCAGCTGCACCCTGGGAGGGACAAGTGAGGACATTGAGTCAGCGGCATGATCGAGAAACCCACAAGGATTGAGGTCTGGAGATCATTCGGGAGGTCCCAGCCACACAGGGACGTGTGCAAGAGGAGGGACAGGAGCGCCCAGGCTGAAGGACATTCTAGGTCTTCAAGTGCCACTTAAGTTCTGTGCATGTTCATACAAATGTCACCTTCTAGGCATCTTCCCCCTCCTCCACCCACATTTTCTTTCTTACCTAAAGAACAGCAAACATTCCTGTAGGTGTATAGTCTATATGAAGAGCATGGGCCCTGTGAGTCCTCTAGAAACCTCCCCTTATAGAACTGAGAACACAGAGGCTTCAGGATATCAAAAGTCTGGTGAAAGGCATGCAGGTCAGAACTGGGACCTGTCCTACATGACATTCCCTCTCAGGTAATGGACACTTATCTGTTTCGGACTTGGGTGGAAAGTGTGTAGGAACAGTGTACACGGTAGATATGGCCTATGAAAACTGTTGACTTCAAAGGAGAAAGTTATGTTTCATCCTTTTACACAAAAGGGCATTTTTGAGAATCTCATTGTGGAGATCCCAGATTCTGCAAGGTGGCAAATGCTTGAAGACTGCAGACTGGAGAAAGGTGATCACCAGGCAGTAATCTGAGCAGAGGACTCAGGAAGGAGCAAATCTATGTGGTGGCTGACAGGGGAACAGGTGACTCAAAGTACCCATGAGGCAATTGCCAATGAAGGAACACTGTGATAGAGTTGGACAACCTGGCATCGGACAGGACAGGTGAAAATTTCAATGAGTGAGTAATCCCCGGGCCAGGCTGGGAGCAAGGCAGGGGCAATCATCAGAAACTGCTTTTGTCTATGTCCCTGCTTCAGCCCTTTGGATTTGGAATCCACCTGCAGCCATGAAAAGTTTCCATGTGCACGTCCTTCTTCCAGCAGTGGGTGTCCAACTCCAGGTGCGGATACTACATGTACTGTGGTCTGAACTGGGTCCCCTAATCCCATGAATTTGCAGCCCCTAGAACTTCACTATGTGGCCGCATTTGAGTGTTCATCTTCAAGCATGCAATTCAGGTGAAGTGAACTCAGTGCTGTGGGTCTTAATCTAGTGTGACCAGTGTCCTAGGAAGAGGAGGGGAGGACACATGGCAGTGCAGAGGGGATCCATGTGACACACAGGAAGAAGACGGCCATCTGCAAGCTGAGGAGAGACCCCCTCGGGAGAAACCAGCCCTGCTGACAGCCTCCTGTCTCACTCCTAGCCTCCGGAATAGTGAGAAAATGAATGTCTGCTGCTGACCCCACCCAGAGTGGTCCTATGTTAAGGCAGCCCGATCAGCCTAACACAGCCCATTCCAACACACTTCAGTGCTCCAGGCAGCAGTGCTGATATGGCAGCCGAACTGAATCAGGCCCAAGTTCAACAGCACTGAAGGGCTGCATCTCTGGGGGAAGGACATCTGCTATTGGCCAAGTTCTGCAAGGACTGTGGACTGAGTGGCAGGGGTAGTTTAAACAACAACATTAGCGAAATGCCCACGAGTTGATGGAGTCTTCTGTGAAGTCAAACCACATCTCTCTTTCTCCTTAATATTCCTACAAATGTGAGGAGGGTCTTTCTACCCTCCCATGTAGCTGGAGGGAGGAGTGGGAGTGCGGATTTCTTTGTCATGGGGCTGTGGGAGAGTCTAGGGAGAGTCCTGGGACAGTCCCTGAGGAGGAGTCCGCAGATTTGAGTGTGTGTCTGGGCACTGCCAGGTCCTCTTGGGGTTGTGGGTGTGGAGACCCTCGAGGCCGGCTCTCACCTTTGACAGGCACTGGACTGTGTCGTCAGCCTGGTGCACCTGCACCCTGACCTCGTAGGCAGTGTAGTCGGGTCCTTGGGCCAGCACTTCAATGATGTTCTCCTGGGAGCTCTGCAAATACAGAATGGGTACTGAGCCAGGAGGCCTCAGGAACCTTCCACCCAGTCTGTGGTCCTGTGTCATGGCAGACCTCGCCTATCAGGACACAGGGAGGATGTTCCTGGCAGCCCTGCTGAGCTAGCAGGCATTGATTTGTGTCAAGGTCTAGCAACAGGGAAAGCCTGAATCACTGATAAAAACTGTGCCCCTGTTGGGATGATATGGAGTTGGGTAAGGCCACAGCTCACTGCAATGGTTTGTTGTCCTCTGTGAGGTGATAGGTTGCACAGAAAAGTATTCAAGACCTTAATCCCTCCCTTACCCACAACCCTCTATTTTTAAAATACACAGCACTATCAAGTGGGAGGATGTTTAAGGCCTGGGAAAGGTCGACAAGGACAGTGGAGCAGGGACCAGTCCACAGCTTACTTGGGGGAAGGGAGTTGATAATGAATTGAAAGGACCATAAGGCAAAGACAGCAACAAATGCCTCCTCTATGATCCCAGCAAAACATGGAGAAATATTGCTTTTTTACCCTTCCAGAGACCTGGTCGGGTGGATTGAAGGTACAGGTTTCTTTGGGAGTGGATCTGTGAGATCTTGGAGGCCCCTGGTTTGAGTCTGACTTCTGGTACCACCCCAGCCACCTCAGGATCCTGGGTGTGGGCCAGCCCTCACCTCCGTTTGGCCCTGGACGGTTTTCCTGGCCTGACGCACTTGTCCTTTGTACCCGTTGATGGCATAAGTGAACCCGTCTACCAGCTCCTCTACGCCGTCCTCATTGGAGCTCTGCAAAGACAGAGCCCGCTACCAGAACAGGAGGCACCGGACCAGTGCCAGTGGGACAGAAGCCCGCCACCCGCTCTGCTCCCCAGATCAGGCAGAGAGGGGCATCTGCAAAGTTCTCCAGGCAGGGACTGAAGTTGAAGACCCCTTGAATATACACACCTCCTCCTCACCACCCACATACACCATCTTAACCAGTGGGTAGCAGATCTCCAAACCCAGCACTAACATGACACACCCTCCAGGCTTCTGACACCGACCAACCTGCTCCTGCACAGGATGTGAGTCCCTCATGCATGCTGTCCCTCACCATCCCTGACACACACACACACACACACACACACACACACACACACACACACCCGGGATGAGGGGTAAGAGGTGTGGGGCTCCCTAGGTGTGACTCCAGCTGGTGCCTGGCCTGGATGGACCTGGCCTGGGCTCCCCTCAGTTACCTGTGGGTGCCTCCTGCGAGAGGGCGAGGGGTATCTGTGGTGGCGCTTGCGCCTGTTTCTACACCAAGAGAAACATCTCTCAGCCTGGGCTTTCTCCTTCCCTGAGCCTCGGAAGAGTGGGAAGCAACACAGAGACATCTTGTCTTCTGACCCTCTCCACTCAAGTGAGCTGCAAAGGCAGTTGCCTCCAGAATGTGGGTACCTGGTTACCATGGTTCCAGTTTCTCTCAGCAAGGAAGTGAGGTCACCCCTTCAAGGTTCCACGACCTGTGCCCCTTCCTCCAATCAGAGCCACCCAAAGGCCCCATGGGCTGTTGACCTCTCACCCTCCGGGCCCATGTTATCTCCATACCTGGACACAAATCAGTACCCAGTATCCAACACAGCCCTCTCCCCAGCTCTCTGGGAATGTGTGAGGGACTCCGGCTTGGCAGAGAAAGCTGTGTTCACACCTCCTTTTCCTTACTTGTTCTGTGCCCCGAGGAAGCCTCTGTACCTCTCAGGGCATCCCCCAGTCTGCAGAAATGCCCAATGAGGATGATGCTAGACACCATTTCCATAGGAAGTCATCAGGTGTAGATGAGACAAGGCCCCTAACACCTGTGGGCTGGCGTCCCCAAAATCTGATGAACATACATAGAGGTGTAAGCGTGGGACACTGGACAAAAGAGGCCTGAGGTCCAGCCTGAGATCTCAGGGAAGTCACTGCTCATGTGGGCCTCATTTTCACGTCTGCACCTTTAAGGTTTGAAATGACAAGAAATTCAGAGCATGTCACTCATGGCCTAAAACCTCGCAGTGGTGTCTTTGTACACTTAGCATCAGAGCCAGTGCCTTATGTGGGCCCAGGGGTTAGGGGCCTTCACAGTGGCTTTCATTGAGTCCAGCCTCCTGGTGGGGACATCCTTGTGTGTCCGCCAAGAGCACAGTAACTCGCTTCTGAACAACATAGCGTCCATCCCAGAGGATGGAATGTCCGGTCCTGTCACTTCTCTAATAGTCTCTCTCATTCTTGAGGTCCTTTCCTTCTCTCAGCCTCTCTCTCACTTTCTCTCTGTATGTGTGTCTGTCTGTGCCCCGGAACAATGAGTCCACACACTTTCCCCCCAACACTTTAGTAAATCTTGGTTTTGGTAAGTTCTCTCCTTTGTTCTTAGAGTCTCTTGGTCTGAGAAGAGATATGGCTTCTTTTACTACTTTATTATAACTTCTAGACATAACCTGTCAAGTCCCATGAGCATGATAGCTTTCTACCTTGACATTCCTGATACAACCATTCTAGTGTGAAACCATCAAGGTTAGCACCAAAAGTACTAACCCCATTGGCCTCAGTGCCTCTTGATACCATGTGTTCTCTCTGACTTGTCAACCTCTAGTATCGCTGGGTCCCTAACCTTTCTCTTTTGGCAGCCCAAAGGATCTTTTGAAAATGTAAATGTGATCATGACCCTTATGGAAACATACCATGGCTTCCTATGGCATTTAGAATTAAGTCCAAAATCCTTAGTGTGTCTGTCCAGGCCCTCCATGATGTGACCTTATCTTTTATCCACTCTTGTCTCCCCCTCACCCCTTTTCTCTAGTCACACTTTTGAGATCCTCATTGGCATCACACTCTCCCAGCCCAGCTGTGTCATTGTCATGCTCCATGTGCCAATGTTTCCCTCTGGAGTTGTTGCAAGACTGGTGTTCTTTCAGGCATATGTGGTCTTTCCTCTGTCCTCCTTTCTGCTTCCATTCTGTTTCTTTATTTTTTTTTCTGTTTTGTTTTGTTTTGCATGTCTGTGTGTGTGTATGTGTGTATGTTAGTTTTTTTGTTTGTTTGTTTTTGTTTTTGTTTTTTTTTGCTATACCATGAAATGCTACAGCCTTGTTGAGCCTCAGGATCTCATTCAGTGTGGGAGCTGAGAATTATAAGCAGCAGAATACTGATGAAAGTAACAGTAGGGATGTGTTTTTCTCACAAAATAACCAATCCATGGGTAGGTGGATCCAATGTTGAATTCAGCTGCTCAGTGATAGCAGGGTAAGCTGCCAGCAACAAAGTGGCTGCAGCAACAGCTCCCGGCACCCAAGGGAGGAAAAAGTTCTGTCTTCACTGTTGTGCTTTTTATCAGGGAGGAAAATAGTGTCTCTGAAATCAATTATGAGACCCTTGCTTGAACCCTTGGCCAGAACAGGCCAAATTGCAAGGGACATGGGTTCCTTTAGTAGGAAAGTGCTCCTGAAGGAGGTGCCCCAGCCCAGGAGGAGGAGGAGGATTAACAGGACAAGGAGGAAGAGGAGGGGCAGGAAGAGGAGAGGGACAGGGCAGTTGGGAAGTTTCTGATAGTGAGCTTCCTGTTTCTGCTGTGAACACTAATGGCCCCATACATTTCTTCTTTGTGGACATGTGGAGGAAAGGTGTCCCGAGATTCAGGGATGACTGTTTTCAAATCTGTTTCCTTGTATCTTGAAGTACTCTATCTAATGGGGCCCATATTATACATATGTAACTTAAAAAAAAGAAAAGAAAATCTACATCTTTATTGAAGTGAGAGGAAGGAAGGGAAACAGAAGGGAGAGAAAGGAGGGTAGGGGGGCGAGAGTAACACCAATGATGAGAGGGCCTCATTGATCACATAGCCCCTAGACAGCAACCCAGGTATGTGCCCTGACTGGGAATGAAACTGGGACTTCCTGGTTCAGGGTTTGACACTCAAGCATTGAGCCACGGCAGCATGGCCACCCGTATAACTTTCTAAGTTTAAACTTTCCTTAATTCAAATTAAGTAAAGGTTAAAATTCACTTAGACATTTAGGTTTCTCTTGAGCAGTGTTAGCTTTGTGTATAGACCAGCCGGTTACCGTGGAAAGCAAGTATGAACTGAAAGAAAGGAAATGTGTCTATCGTCACAGCAAGAGTGTTCATGTGAGAACAATGAGCTTTGGATGACTGGGCCACGGAACTGCGTGGATCCCTCTTGCACAGCATGCCTCCTTTGGAAATACTCACCTACTACTCCTTTTTCCTTTTCTGCTTAGAAGTTTTTGACATAATGGTTTTAATTTTAATTATAGATAGTTCCAGTGGTGACAGTGAAGCGTGGCCCTTCTGGTAGAACCAGGGCTGTGTACCCTGTTTCCATAACATCCTGAGCTGGTGGAACCATTGCCTCTTGCTAGGAGGAGTTTGACTGGTGAGTAAAATTCGGGGCTCATTGGGAAAGGAAAATGTTTAACGAAGTGTTGAGTGGAGAGAGTTGTTTTGAATTATTCCTGTTGCAACCAAAGCAATGCTCTTTCCATCCCCAGTGGTTTTCAATATTGTTAACAGTTATCCTAGTGGTTGTTGCTTCTCAAATGGCAACTCAAGCTACACACTGAGTGAAGTGGAATGCAGCCCAGTTAGTAATTTTTGCTCTTAATGAGAGCATTTGAAGATATAAATTGGCACATGGGAAAGTTTGGAAAGATATTATTGAGTCTGGCCAGTGTTGCACAGTGGTTGAGGATCCCCCTGTGAGCCAGGCAGGCATTCACAGTTGGTTTGATTCCAGGTCAGGGCACATGTCCCGGTTGCAGACTGGATCACCATTGAATGTTGTGAAAGAGGCAGCCAAGGAATTATTCTCTCTCAGCATTTTTGTTTCTCTCTCCTTTACTCTCCCTGAAATCAATTAAGTATAGTTTTAAAATATCTATTTAGCCTAGCCCTGACTAATGGGGCTCATTTGGGTGGGCTTCTCCCCTTGCACTGAAAGGTTTCTGGATCAGTTCCCAGAAGGGGGGCACTTGGTAGGGTTTTGTGGTCAGTTCCTTTCAGGGGTGGGTAGGAGGCAGCCAACCCACCTTTCATCGAT